GATTATTTCCCTAAAAGGAGGGAAAAAGCTCAGAGTACACTGTATTTCAGGAAACTTTGTTACAGAAAGGGTGGCCTTAGAGCCTGGCCCTTTTAGACTATTAAACTTGGAGCCAAGTCTCTGGTCATTTAGTTGAAAAAATCAGATAGTCTCCAGTAGGTTTTAGTCCCAGAAATTAATGTATCAAGGTCTGCAAAGTTTAGAAGAGAAGAATGACCCAAGAGCTTTTATCTAGCCACATTGTCATTTAAGTAAAGCACAGCTAGTAGCACTCTCATGAAGAAAACATGTGAAGTGTGGCACTTTGGAACCCTTCTTGAAAAAAATACTGCTTAACAGTAAAATCCAGTCAGTAAGAGAGTGAATCACAAGAAAGGCCCCAGGAAGTAAAGACTGTAGTGAGCATTGAACTATTCACTTAAATACAAAGCTAATACTTAAATATACAACTAATACTAAAATATGCTTAAGTACAAAATACCAAAATATACTTAAGTATGGAACTAATACCAAAATATACTTAAAGATAGAACTAATAGCTAAATATAACTAATAAAGAAGTAATAGCTAAATATACTTAAATATAGAGCTAATACTTAGCTATAAAACTAATACTAATTAACTAGAAATTGTGGCTGCAGGACAGACCGTGAATGTTATAAACCTGGGCAATGTAAAAGTGAAACAATTAACAAAAATCAGGAGGTGGGAAGAGGAATGATATGAAGAATTAGAAGATTTTGTACTTTTAAAATGTAGAGTTGAGAAATACTGTTAAAATGGAAGTGTGTTGTATGTTTTTAAAAGAATGAGCAAAACCTCTTAATGTTTTCATAAACTTTGTCTTAACCTGAAGGTTTCTTTACTCTTGTGGTGTAGAAACATTTACTTTGAAGTTCAGCACTTCTTCCGTTTCTGCTTCCTTTTCTCCCTTTACATTCTCAACAATTAGAATTATATCAAACTGTCTTTGTATATAAAACAATTAAAATAGAATGTGTTTTCTGAAAATAATACCGCATGAAATAGCCCATTTTCATAAAACCTATTTCTCTCCCTCTCTCTGTACCCATATAAAATATTTTCACCTAATGTCAGCAATGATAATTTAGGAATAATTGGATTTGGAGTAATTTTAAACCTTTCACTTGTATTCTTTTCTGCAATATTTAGCTCTTTATAATCAGCAGTTCTTTTATAAAAACAGCAGTGATTTTTCTTAAAGACAGATTTTAAAAGCCAAAGACATTGACCTCAGTTATTTCCCTCTTCATGGGGAAATGGATACTTGTTGGGCACACACAAGTCATCAGGGAGGGTGCGGCCTGCCTGTTGGTGGACCTGCCAGTGCACTTGAAGTTCTGGACTGGAGCCTTTTGAATATTTGGGATTTTGCATTGCTGCCCAGGAGCTTAACGTTTAGTTGTTTCCATCAGTGATTCTCAGTCTGTCTGTCACTCCAGCACTGAGGGATGGGGTGAGCACCTGTTGCCGAGCTGGCTCATTCAAGCCAGTTCTCAAGTGGCAGGATAAGTGTGCCGAGAAGAGCCAGGAGGGCCACGCAGTGCAGGATAGGGCAGGAAAGAGGCAGGACCGGGAGAGACACCAGAATCCCCAGTGGTTCTCCCTTCTTCCTTATAAGAAGGAGGGTCTTCTTATAATCTGGTCCCCACTCCCAGGCTGAAGACCATGGTGTAAATCTTCATGGTTTAAAATAATTTAACATTGAGAACATGCATCTTGCATGTGTGACCCAGATGCCACAGGCCCCACCAGTCAGGGTATGCATTATGTCACATACTTACTGAGGCCCAAAGTGTGATTACTCTTAGGCCACCCACCTGCTCTCCTGGTGATGCCTCAACCCAGTTAACCCAGTGGGATCCTCAAAAGGTTCAGGTACCAGATAAACCCTAGAAGTGAGAATAGGGAGAGTAAAAACTAGAAACAGAATTGTCTGAGAACTGTTTAGGAAACAGACCAGCCGTCTCCCTCACCTCATGCCCCTGAGTGCCTGCCCCCACCACCCAGGCAGAAGTTTGAGTGCTCGTCACAGGAGAGACTAACACTGAACGTTTCTGGATGAGGGACCCTGTGCCCAGTTGAAGGTGGGGGCGTTTTACCCAAACAGGAGTGTTGGGTAAATTTAGGCTTCTTGAATGCTGAGCTTTTCCCACCCCCAGCTTCTCCTCAGTCAGCTCTCAGAACCACAGGTAGCCAGGTCTGTAGCTTGGAGACAGAGTGGGAGACTCCTCTGCCCACGAAGAGATGCATAAGGATGTTTAGTCAGATTCCCCAGCAGACAGCCTAGTGGGAGGCCTTGTCGATGGTCAGAGTCCACAGGCTTCGGAGTCCAGTCAGCTCTAGTCTTCCACTCTTCAAGTGGGACAACCAAGGAGTCCCAGGTACCTGAGGAATTCCTCCAGCCTGAAAGTGAATAGAGACCAAAGCAACCGAACAGCCAGAGAGCAACTTGGATGAGAGAGGGGCTCCAGGAGAAGAAGGCCTCAGCGCCAGCTCTAAAGAGACTCCTGGTCATCTCAGAGAGATGTCATCCCAGCTGTGGAACAAGAACAGGAGCCTGTATGAAGCCACGGAACAAAAATAACAAGAAATCCTCCTGGAAATTAAAGCATGGTAGAAATGAAAACTCAATGGAAAAATTGGAAGAAAAACATTAAGAAAATCTCCCAGAAAGAATAAAAAGGCAAAGAGAGGGAAAATAATAAAGGAAATTTTTTTTTTTCCCCCAAAGGACAACTAGGCTAGGAGGTCTAGCATGTTCCAGAGAAGACTGAGAAAACAAAGAGGAGGTAACCCTTGACAAAATAAATTTTTAAAAACTTCCCTCAAATGATGGATGTGTTTCTGGGTTGAAAGGCTTACCGAATACCCTGCACGGTGGCTGAAAATACATGCCTACCAAGGCTGCCTCCTTAGGGGTCCTTAGAACGGCGAGGACATGGAAAACGGCAGTCACATGCAAAGCACCGGCCACCAGAACAGCTTTGCACAGGGTGACAGTGAATGCTGAAGGCAGGAGTGCTGGGCTTCACGGTCCTGGAGGAGGGTCGCGTCCAGCCTAGACTGTTAGGCCCAGCCAGCTATCAGCCAGGTGCAAGCGTTGAATAGAAACATTCTTAGCCAAGTGAGATCTCAGAAATGCTACCACCCACACACCCTTTCTCAGGATGCCAGCGCTGCCAAAATGAGGGTGCTAAGTAACATAAAAGCAGGAAAGGCCTTGGCTGTAGGAAATGAGAGATCTTGAAACCTCTCATTTCAAGAGAGGAGGGAAGAATGCTCTGGAATGGAGAGTGGTGAGCTTAAAGATGAAGATATTTTGCCAAGTATCAAGGCACCCAGTCCAGATTGGGAACAGGTTTCAGAGGCTCCAGGAACGATTGCTTTAAGAAATTAAAATTCATTGGATGCCTGATAGAAATTAGCATTAGCAAAGAGGTTTTGATAAGAAGTTAACTATTTGCAGTTGATTTTGGTGGTAAGGTCACAGAAATACAATAAAAGGAACCGCCCACTTCTCCACCTTTTATAATTTTGGTTCCAGTGGGGAAGGAAGCTCTCAGAAAGGAAGAAATTAGGAAGGTCTCTATATGGCACAGGTCAGGAGAGGAATGTGGTGTTAATGAAGACACTGTATAGCTCTAACTCAGATTACTAGATAATTATTTTGGGAGGATGGGGAGTATGAATACACCTGGGTAGGAAGAGGAGCCAAATCCTCTTCTATAGATAACGTCTAAAATCGAGCACTCGCCAGGTTCATGCCTATAGTCTCAGCACTTTGGGAGGCCAAGGAGGGCGGATCACCTGAGGTCAGGAGTTGGAGACAAACCTGACCAACATGGAGAAACTCCATCTCTACGAAAGTACAGAATTAGCCAGGCCTGGTGGCACATGCCTATAATCCCAGCTACTTGGGAGGCTGAGGCAAGAAAATCGCTTGAACCTGGGAGGTGGAGGTTGCGGTGAGCCAAGATTATACCATTGCACTCCAGCCTGGGGAACAAGAGCAAAACTCCATCTCAAAAAAAAGAGAGCACTCAAAAGGCAGTTATATGATGGTATTTTACAGATGTGTGAGATACAGAGGTAAATTAAAGACCAAGCAGATTGGTTTAAAGAAGTTGAAAATAGTTGCTACCCTGGATGGGGAAATGGCTGAAAGACTATTTTTCACTTTTAGAAAACTCGTAGAACTGTTTCCCCCCCACCACCCCCAACCCCCCTGCCCAACAGTTGGTGCATACATAACTCTGGCCAAATAGACTTTTCACAGTGCTAGGACTTGGCCATGGGTTGGCTGGATATCAGGGGACTGTGAAGCTGCCATCAGACATGTGCTAGAAGTGTATGCAGTGCTGTGGTCTCTGCAGATGAGATGGGACTAGTCGGCGGGTGCAGCCCTGTTCTGGACAGGAGTTTAGGTGCCTTTAGAAATCCAGGTGGAGTTGTGAGGACTGTGGTGTCTCTGAGGACTGCACTGTCTGTCGGTGGGCTGATGGACAGAGGCAAAGGTCCTTAATGGCCTGCACCACGGCTGCTGTCCCAGGCATCAGGGGTACAGGGCAGGGCTGGGCCACTAGGGTAAGACTAGGAAAGGTGTCCTGGAGTTGCTGCCCCAGAACTGAGGCTCCAGAGATGAGTAGGAGAGCCAGGCAAAGGGGAGAGGGAAAGGCCCTTCTGGAGGAAGGAGGCTACACACTCTCTGCTTGAGAACCGGGCCTGGGTCACTGGCAGGCCCACTGTCAAGGTACCTGTTGAATCTCCTGGGCTTTCTACTCACAGAGGACCTGCAGTTCTTTTGGCAATCCCCAGACATTCTTGACGCTGTTCTTCTTTTGGAACGTAAGGAGTGGTCCCTCAGGCCGATTTGTGAACATCATGTCCTGGGAGAAGGCAGGAGAGTTAGGATGAGTTGCCGGGGAGGAATCTGACCGTGTGTGTCCCTAAACCTCCTCTCTTCCACTGTTCCGTAGGATAAGGAGCCCCGTGGAATCATCCCTTTAGAGAATCTGAGTATCCGGGAAGTGGAGGACTCCAAAAAACCAGTAAGTATTTTTGAGGGGAGAAAGGGGATGGGCATTTCAAAGATTTTCTTTTAAAACCCCAAACCAAAGCACTGAAAAGCGTGATCAGGCCTTTTATTTAGTCTAATTTTTGATTATATTGTTCAAGCCAAAGATGAGACTAAATCACTTCTTTCTGTGCTGTCCATCTGGTTTATTGTTTCACTTAGTGAATATCACATCAGGTGTAGAAGTTGCCCCTCCTCAGATGGCCACAGCAAGCACTCATGGGTGGGCTATTTATTTTATAACCTTGGGATACCTTGTATTTATTTTTCCTTTATTTTGGACCATCACGATGTTACTGGCTTGACTTCAGTAACCTGTGGTTCTGTCCATATTTTACATGCATTAGAAGTGGAGCCAACTTATATCAGATTGATATGTTTGCTAACAAGACTTATTTCTATGCAATTTACAGTCTCTAGAATTCCACTTCTAATCTTCACGTTTCCATAGGAAAATATGTCTTGCTTGTATTTGGTGAAGGTCAGAATAAAGAGGCTTTGGGGAAAGAAATCAGCATGTTTCTCAGTCAGCAGCATCCTTTGCTTCAGTCTCTCCCTCTCTGTTTCGATTCTCAGAACTGCTTTGAGCTTTATATCCCTGACAATAAAGACCAGGTCATCAAGGCCTGCAAGACCGAGGCTGACGGGCGGGTGGTGGAGGGGAACCACACTGTTTACCGGATCTCAGCTCCGACGCCCGAGGAGAAGGAGGAGTGGATGAAGTGCATTAAGTAAGTGACTTCAGAGAAAGGGAGGTGGGCGCGCCCGACGGGCCTTCACTCACCAGGTATTCATCGTCTTAGTGGCCAAACATGCCGCCCGCACCTCTTCTGTGCTCCCAGTGTTACGTTCCTAGGGAGGTTTGGTCCTGGTTCCCAGATGACTTCCTGGGAGGCCTTTGGATTTTTGTCTATTACAGCGTATGTAAGAGAGCACGTCCCATCTGGGTTCCCCAAGTGTCCTCATAGACCCAAAATGGGAAGAGGTGAGTGAGCTGCAGGCACAGATGCCATTGCTGGACTGGCCTTTCCATGTCTGAGGAAGCTGTTCGCATTATGGCAACAGCTCTGTGGTGACAGTAATCATGTTTTATCATTTATTAATGTTATGAGACACCATTTTCCTAGCTACAGGTGAGGAAACTGAGGCCCATAGAGGTCAAGACATTCACTGGAAGTCAAATAGCATGATCCAAGGTCCAGGAGGGGGGAAAAGCCTCCTCAGAGTTCCACAGCTAAGAAGTGGAGCTCCGAGTCCAGCGCTCTGACTCCTCGCTCGGCCCTGCGCCAGCCATGCCAGGTTTCTCATGGGGCTGGAGACTTCCGATGGGAAAAGTATCTGGAAACACAGCTTTCTGAAGCCAACGGGCTTCTCTGGCTTCATGTTCTTCCCTGGGCCTTGGTCCGCCTGGTCCTGCCTCCAGTCCCTGTGTGAGGATCAAGCCTGAGCTTCTGCCTTTGCCTTCTCTCCGTGAGGCTTGCTCCTGAGAGCATAGCCTTGTCCTCCCTCCTGGGTGCTTCAGCCATGAGAGTTCACCCAGCTGTTTTCCCAAGAAAGGCTCCTCAGCTGCCTGTGACTTCACCTGGAAAACAGGGAGAATGTGTTCAAGGTGACGGCCAAGGCCCTGTAAGTCCCCTGTGTACTGTGTGACGGGCTTGTTCCCGCCCAGGCTACAGCCCCCTTCCTCAGAGAGTCCGATATGCTCTAGCCTTTGTTTTAGCTTTCGGCATTTCTGCTCAAACCAGGGTAGGTTTTGGCCAAGGTTAAATATTTAATAAATGACTGAAGATGGAGATGATGTGATGATGGAAGGAAAAGATAGATGATTGATCCCTTCAAAAGTAAATCTGAAAATTCATGCAATAAAAAGAGACAGGAGCCAGGTGGGGAGAGGATGGATTTGGATGGATTTGGCTCTGGGTCACACCGTGCTGAGTCCTTGCTCTGTCCCTCTCAGCACGGTGCCTGGTAGGCAGGTAACCTACGTGTTCTGTCTGATAGAGGTCATTTCTGACTCGTGGGCTCTTATGAGGATTAAATGAGATCATGTGGTGGGCACAGGCCTCGGCAGCTTCCCTGGCATGACAGCCATCATGGGAAGTGTGGCCCTGAGCAGGGGCCAGCCCACTCTCCATGAGCAGACGCAGCGCCACTGTGTTTTCAGAGTTCCCTGCTAGTAATGGCATCAGCCCTGCGTTCTGGGGAAGAAGACGGCAGTGTTGTGGGACCTGTGTGGGGCCTACATCCTTTTTTTAACATACTGAAAAACAGTTTAACTCTTGAATCGTTATAAAACGTGGTTTTTATATAAGATTTGAAGTAAGGGTTGTACAGGATTTTACCTTTGTTCTCACAAGTGAGTAGCTGATGGTCCTGACGCCATTTATGAATTAATCCGTGTCGCTCCTGCCGATGACACAGCCTCCTTAGTTTGTACCCACCTCCTCTGTCATGCGGCAAAGCACCTGCTGTTCCACCATGTCTCCCAGTGTGAGTGCCACCCTGCCTCTCCCCTGGAACCGCATGTGTGCTTTGACTGTGCTGGCTGGTGGGCTTCCTGGCCTCCCCTCACTGGTCTTTCATAAAAGTTTTGGCTGGTTTTTTACATGTGTCTTTCATGTGGTTTTTACTTCTATAGTTGGAAAAACTAAGCATTTTTGAAAGTTACACTTAGAATCATTCAATCCTTTAATGAGAGTGAGTGCCGAGTTCTGTGTGGGGTTGCTGGGCTCCTCTGGTCTGTCCCGAAGCTGGCTGGTCTCAGCCTCAGATCTGCAGACCCCCCCCCCACCTTGGCACTCTGCGGGCACGCTGTCGTCAAACCTCCCTGCACCTGGTGCAAGGTGGGCCCATTAGGATTAATATCCCCATTTCACAGACGAGGACGCTGAGGCACGGCAAACTTGAGTTAGTTGTCCAAAACCACACAGAGGTGGAGCTGGTTCTCAGACCTGCGCAGTGTGACTCACGCAGCTGCACCGGCAACCACCTCGCAGCCTCAGCTGTCCTTGGCCCTAGCTGCTTCTCCCAGTGGAAACATTGGTGATGACAGGAGCAGGAAGAGGATCTGGCTGGTGGATGCCTCTTCCCCAGTGTTGCCAGAAAGGCTTTGGAGGTCAAGTTCAGGACACGTTTTCCTCTACATGCTTTTCCTGGAGTTCCCAGCAACCTCTGTTCTGGTGCCCCTGCCTGTGGGTTGCCATGGCTTTCGGTTCTGTGGAATCAGGTGTGTTCTGTAATGCTGGGACTTTCTTCATGCTGTACCCGGAGGTAAAGCAGTAGAACTGCTGAGTCAGCAGTAACAGCGGCTGCCGCCCAATGTGTCTGCTGGGCACGGAGATGTGGTCTTTGTATACGGATCTCTGTTTGACTCCCCGGATCCCAGGGAGGCAGGGCATCTCCAGTTCCCATGTGAGGCTCGGGAGTGAGGAGCAGCATGCAGAGCCAGGCAGGGCTGACCAGGGCCTGGTGTCTGACTGCAGCCCAGCCCTCCTCATTGCCCGGCATACAGGGCAGGGCCACACACACCTGCGGAAACACCCAGCTTACCTGAAAGGGACCGACCCAAGAAGCCAGGGGAGATTCACCACAACACCTCCAAAAATGAAAGCAGATGTTTTGGCTGGCCAGATTCCTTCATGAGAGCACTTTGGGTGGTCAGACCCCTTCCTGGTGAGATCCCATCGGACGTGTTTCCAGTACTGTTCAGTCCCTAGCACTCCCTGAGGAGCTGCGGAAACATTTTCCCATGGACACATCGTCTCTTGTGAACAGGATCCCAGTCAACTCAGGGGAGCCATAGCAGCTGCTGGTGCCACCGCTCAGCAGGGGCAAGTGCCCTGCCTGCAGTCAGGAGGCTTGTGCCTGAACTCTGGGACAAATCATCGCTTGGGATACTGCTTCCCTGGAAAGAAATGCAGTGTTGCTGTTTTCGTGGCTCTGGCACAGGCATGAGCTCAGTCCCCTCCCTGTGTGCTGGAGACCCAGCTGGGTCCAGCCGGTCTGTCCCCGGTGCCCCACCAGCAGCATCGGGCCGGGCAGTGCTGCCTGCGGGGTCACGGAGCCTGAGTTACTGAACCGGTGCACATGGGGGCTTGGAAGGCCCCACTGCATTACCATGCCAGCTGCCACACACCCCATGCCAGAGGACTGCCTGTGACACAGCTTGATTACATGGCACTTGCTGCTGCAAAGAAAAGTCAGAGGTCATGCAACTCAAGCACAGATTTTTTTCTCTGAGTTTGAATATAGCTTTCAGAATGTGTCATGATTCTGTTCCTAAGTGTCAATTGATTATTACATTGAAACAGGTAAAAAAAAAAAACACCCCAAAATTATCCTGTCATCTGTTCCTGTGTCTCTTTCGAAGTGTATCGCCAGAAGTCACTGTGTGGACACAGCAAGGGTGGATGACAGTAACTTGGCCTTTGCAGTAGTGGTGGGGTAGGACAGGGGCTTCGGGGCATGAGAAGCCCCTGCCCGGATATGTTTCTTCTGATTCTGTCCCTCATGTCTCTGTTTTCTTCCGTTTCTGTGCTCCAGAGCAGCCATCAGCAGGGACCCTTTCTATGAAATGCTCGCGGCACGGAAAAAGAAGGTCTCCTCCACGAAGCGACACTGAGCGTGCAGCCGAGGGCGTCGGTCTGTGGGGCTTCGGAGCTCCCGCCCTTCTCCCGCGCCTCCACGGACGTGCTACTGCCTAGCAGAGCGTCCTCTGCCAGGCCCTGCCCTGGATTCCTAGAGACTAGCTTCAGCTTTTGCTATTTTTTTTTAAGTGGGAGAAGGGTGGGCAGTTATCACTGGGGAAGAGGGGACTGGCCGCCTGGCCAGCATGGGCTCCTGAGCCTTTCTCTCTCACAGGGCAGAGCTCCTGTCGGCAGGGCAGCCTCCTGGCCAGTTTCTCTGCTCGGTGTTCTGGTAGCAGAGCGCGGCACCAACTGTTTACCTCCTGGTTGTCCCGGTGAAGAAGCCTTCAACCCCTGCACCATAAATACATGTATCCATATATTATTATATGTTAAGAAAAAAGGTGGAAAGGAAGAGAAGCCACATACTATAAAGATCTATTTTTTTTTAAGAGAGAACATAGTGCTGTTCAGGTGCATTCTGCCCTGGCTGCTCCGGGAGCTTCTCCCTGGAGAAGAGCACCCAGGGCTGCAGCTGAGGGGCATCAGCCTGGGCCCGCGGCAGGGCCTGGCCCACCTCTCCTGTGCTGTGGGAGCTGGCTGCCTAGTACTTGTCTGGGCAAGAGAGGCAGGTGAGGTCAAGGACACAGAGGGCAGAGGTGCAGTGGGCCTCGGACAGCACAGTCAGACTCGGGGCCTGCCCTGGCGGGGGCACAGCCAGCAGCAGCGTGCAGTCCAGCGGCTCCCGCAGATGTTTCTCCATCCCAAGTGCCTGCGGAGCGCCGAGGAGAGGAGAGAACTGACCGGACGCTGACGTTACTTTCCTCCTCCAGAATCCAAGTTCTTGTGGGGCTTTAACTTAGAAAGTCAGCATTTTCCTTGAGCTAAATACCTAATAACCAAAACTGTGAGGAAGGTTATCAGGACAGAGCTTCCGGATAACCTCACTGTTTCATATTTGGTTTTCTTCCTTTTCCCCAGAACTCCAGTCCTCGTTCTAGAGGAAGGAGTAGGACTTAGCCCATCCCCTTAGGGCTTCAGCTTTTTCTGCCTCGAAACCGGCCCTAACTGGACTACTCTGGATGCGTTTTGTGGTGGGCCTCCTAGAGGGGAGGATGGGCCTTTATCTGCTCCGTGGAGTGCACTGGAGTGAGGTGGGGTGGCCAGGCAGCCTCTCGCATCTCTCCTCCCTGCAGGCACCGTGTGAGCTGGCCCTGCCCTCATTCCAGTGTGAAGGGAGCCATGATATGCAGCATTTTCCTGCCGTTCTCTCAGGGACTCTCAAGGGCAGCTCCTGCCCCTCCGCCAGGGCCAGCATGCCAGTCCAGGCCGAGCAGGTGGCTGGCCGTCTGGCCGTCTCGCCGTCTCGGCCCACCCCTCCACAGGGCCCTGGAGCAGGGCGGTGCAGGGCGCGGCCCGGAGGAGGCAGGTGGAGGAGCTGCGGGTTTCCACATTGCCGCATCGCCACGGCTCTTCTGATCCTTTAGGGTTGGCGAGCATCTCTGGAAATAGCTTTTGCAGAGGCATGGTGGGAGGAATGGAGGGGGACAGTCTCTCACCCCCCCACCCCCGGATTTGTGTAGATCCTACCTGGAGTGGCTTCATGCACTTTTGTGCCAGAGCTTGTGAGGGTGACAAAAGAGGGTCCAGGCTGGAAACCTGAACTTTCTGGGTGGGAGAACCAGGCGGTGCCTGCTGAGGTCTGGGCATGTTTGGGCTGGCACTGGAGCCTGTCCAGCTGGCCCGGGCCCTGACCTGGTTCTCACAAGTGTTTCCTAGTCAGAGAGGCACCTGGGTCAGTATTAGTCTATTTATCAGAGGTGTAAATAATCTATGTATAGTTTTTCTCCTTTTAGATTATTTTGTATTTGTTTAAAAGAAGTTTTGTCAAAATACAAAAATATAAAGACTGAAAGTTGTTGACAGGGTTTTTAAAAAAATTATAATTATTCTAATTGTTTTTGTTTGTTTGTTTCTGCCTTGTAAACTAGCGCCAAGGAACTGCAGCAAATAAACTCCAAATTTGCCCAAGCCATCTTTGTTGTTTGTGGCATCTCTCATGCTCAGGGTGGGCCTCGAGGTAGGAGAGGAGTGCTTAGCAGACGTGCAGGCAGGAGGGGAGTCATGCAAACTGCACCCTGAGTTCAGTCGAAACACATCAAAAGTGGGAGGAGGCTTCTGTGTTCTGTTAAGAGCATAGTGAGAAAAGACAATGAGCTTAGTCTTTGCACCGCCCCCCACCGCTGCTTTTTTGGAAGAAGAAACGTGGAACATCAATTTTAAATTAAGATCAAGAAATATGCCTTCAGTCAATATAATACATTTTTAGTATGATTTCAGTTTCCAGAGATGATGTCATAATGCCAGGGAACAGACGGGGAAAAGTCTCGGTGGGCTTGAACCCAGAAGCAGGGGAAGGCACCTGGTGAGGCGGCACCCAGCAGAGAGACGGCAGAGCGCCAGGCTGGCCCGCAGTCTTCCACACGGCGGCAGCAGTCTGATCTGTCCTTGCTTCAAGCCCCCAGTCCGCCCTGACCGTTCCCCAGGTGAGCGCCCCGCTTTACTGAGGAGGACTGTCTTGTGAAGAGCAGCATTCCTACCTTCTCAAGTCAGTCGCACCCCAACTGTTTTTGTTCCCTCCCATCTCCCGGAAGAAGTGGCCTCCTTTTTCCCTGTCTCCCCAGACCCATCTCTGTCAGTTAGCCTCTGTGTTGTATATATTCCCAGCGTCCTTCCTGATTAATTTATTTTCCTCAAACCACAGAAATGCCCATCTCATTTGAAAAACAACTCCCTAAGCTCAGGAATAAGAGATCTCCACTCTGTTAAAACATGTGCTCTGAATGAAGAGTACCCCTGCCACCCCCAAACAGGCTTTGTGTGAGCAACATGGCTGTTTATTCACCCCAGCTTGGGCGGGCTGAGTCGGAAAAGAGTCAGCAGAGGGTAGTGGGTTACTGGTTTTGTAGGGTTGGGGGAAGCACTGCAAAGTTACGGAAGTTACAGTCAGGGTGGTTTTTGCAAGCTGGGAGGGGATTGTAGGGTCTGGAGTCACGAGGTTGACCAAGGTCCATTACAGAGTCCAATTGCCTTGTCTCAAAGTTAATTAGGCGCTGCAGGGATTGATGATTTCTTCTCTTTTTGTGGTTTTCCAGTTACTTCAGACCTTCTAGTTCCAGGAACTCGTCTGGATTGTACGTGCAAGTCACAGGGGTTATCATGGGATAGTCTGTAGTGCAATCAGCCTGAAAGACCTTACACACTTACCACTTCTATTCAGCATTGTACTGGGGGTTCTAGTCAGGGCAGTTAGACAAGAAATGAAAGGTATCCAGATAGGAAAGGAAGAAGGAAGATTACGTTTATTTGCTGGTAACATGGCTTTATAATGCTTAGCCGAGCCATGGGAATGGGGCCACCAGCTTGCAGCCCCAGCCCTGGAGAGCTGCAGGCACTAGATGCCATCCTGTGAGATCTGGGGTGGGCTGAGCCCAGTACGGGGGGTGGGGCTGCTCCTGGCTTTGGGGGGATCACATTAAGATGAGTCAGAGAATATTCTGGAGTCAGGATTTAATGTTGTCTGCCCTGTTGGGTTTCAGACTTTCTTGGGATTGGTTATCTTTTCTTCCTGCCCTCTTTTCCTGTTTGGAATGGGAATGTCTGTCTTATGCCTGCCCCACCACTGTATTTCATAAGCTCATAACTTGTTAAATTTCAAGGCTCTCAGCTGGAGGGAGATTTGCCTCAGGATGAATTGTGCCTTGAGTCTTACTCATATCTGATTTAGAGGAGACTCTGGATTTTTGGACTTTAGAATTGATGCTGGAGCAAGTTAAGACTTTTGGGGGAGTTGGGATGGAATGAATGCATTTTGTACTGAGAATTATGCGTCTGGGGGTACCAGTGGCAGAATGCTATGGTATGAATGTTTGTTCCCTCCAAAACTCACGTTGAAATGTCACTGCCATTGTAACAGTATTAAAAGGTAGGACCTTTAAGAGGTGTTTAGGTCATGAGGGCAGAGCCCTCATAGACAAATGCTGTACTGCAGGAGTGGGTTCGTTTTTGTGGGAGCGAGCTCACCCCCTCTTGTGCACGCTCACACTCTCCTCCATCCAGCTCTCCTGCCATGTGATGTCCTCTGCCATGTTACGATACAGCAAGAAGGCCCTCAGAAGATGCCAGTGCCTCGATACTGGACTTGTCGGCCTCCAGAACTTTGAGCCAGTTAATTTCTGTTCTTTATAAAGTGCCCAGCCTCTGGTGGTCTGTCACAGCAGCACACACTGGGATGGCTATCATAAAAACGACAGATGCTGACGAGTGTCATGGAGGACGCGGAGCAATTGGAGCCGCCACGAGTTGGTGGGCATGTAAAATGGTGCAGTTGCCGTGGGAAACAGTTCGGCAGTTCGTCAGAAACAATCACCCTATGATCCAGCAACTCTGCTCCTAGTTGTCGACACAAGAGAATCGAAAAGATGTGACCACAAAGACTTGTACACAAATGCTTCTATTAATAGCAGCATGATTCATGATAGCCCCAAAGCAGAAGCAACCCAGATGCCTGGGGATGGAGTCAATGTGGTAGGCGCACATAATCCAACGTTATTCAGCCACACAAAGGGATGGAGCGCTGACGCATGCCGCAGAATGGCCGCCTGGAACACGTGGTGTTCAGTGAAAGAAACCTACACGAAGTTCACATCGTATACGGTTCTCTTTATGTGAAATGTCTACAGAAGGCAAATCTATGGAGAAGGAAAGTAGAGTCATGATTGCCAGGGGATGGGGATGTTAGAGGAAGAGGGTTGACAAGTGACTGCTGTTAGGTGCGGGGTTTCTTTTTGGGGTAATGAAGACATTCTGGAGTTCTGTGGTGCTATTGGTTTCACAACGTGTGAATGTGCTAAAGACCAGTGAATTACGCACTTGAAAAAGGATCGCGTCTATGCTAAGTGAATTATAACTCATTTTTGTTTTGTTTTGCTTTTTGAGACAGGGTCTTACTGTTTTGCCCAGGCTGGAGTGCAGGGGTGCAATCTCAGCTCGCTGCAACCTTCACCTCCCCGGTTCAAGCAGTTCTCATGCCTCAGCTATTCAAGTAGCTGGGATTACAGACGCAAGCCACCGTGCCTGGCTAATTTTTTGTATTTTTAGTAGAGACGGAGTTTTGCCATGTTGGCCAGGCCTGTCTCGAACTCCTGGCCTCATGTGATCACCTGCTTGGGCCTCCCAAAGTGCCGGGATTATAGGTGTGAGCCACCAGGCCCAGCCTATATCTCAGTTTTAAAACAACAGAAATAAATCCGTTCACTTCTAGTGGTTCCGCTGGTTCTAAAGTGTGGTTCCCCGATCAGCATCGTCAGCAGCACCTGGGAATATGTTAGAAATAGCATCATCAGGCCCCAGCCCCACCAGCTGAATCTCGTGCTGGGGTCTGGCATCGTTTAACGAATGTGTGGGAGTCACTGCCTTCAACTGAACTCCTGTCTTGTTTTCTCCCTTTCATTGCTAAGCTTTTTTTTTTTTTTTTTTTTTTCCATAACAGCTTTATGGAGATAAACAATTCACACGATTACCATGTACAATTCAGTGGGTTTTAGTATTAATATTGTACTAAATAATAATAACATAGCATAGTAATACGGTAATGAGACAGGTGGGAAGGGGTCCCTGGAGAAACTCGAACCAGTCTGCCCATTGAAGTGGAGCCTTGGGAAGTTCATGATGTTTGCAGCGTGGAGGAGCCCAGCCCCTCCTCTTCCTGTGTGGACCCTGGGATTCCAGCGGCAGGTGGGAAGGGTGCTGGCAGGGACTGTGGCCTTGTTGGGGATCCGATCCCCATTTCCCCTTCTCTTTCCCTTTTCACCCAATAAAACCCTGCTTTACTCGCCCTTTAAACCATCTTCCAGCCTAAATTTTTGTGGCTGTGGGGTGGACAAGAACCCATCTTTAGCTGAACTAAGGAAAAGTTCTGCAATAGAAATATATTCGCAAAGTTACTAAAGCACCAATGAAATCCATTTTAGTGCAGTCCGTCACCCCAAGGCACACCCTGTCCTGCCAGTCAGCAGCCACTCCTCCTCTGGCCTGGCCCTAGGCAATCCTAATGTTGCTGCCCGTGCACTTGCCTCTCTGGGCATTTCACATACATGGAATCATACACGACGCAGGCCTTGTGTCTGGCTTCTTTCACTTAGTGGTATGTTCACAGGACTCATCCACGTAGCGCGCATCAGAGCCTCATTCCCTTTTACGGCTAAATGACGTTCCACTGTATGGAGACCACATTGTTATTCATTCTTCGATGGGCATGTGTGTTGTTTGCACCTCTTGGCTGTTAGGAGTCAAGCTGCTGCTGCCTTCACCCATACGCAGGTGTTTGTGTGGCTGTGGGACTCGGACAGTCCCCTGCTGCATCTACGTCCTCACTTCACTATTATTATTATTATTCCACTTTAAATTCTGGGGTACCTGTGCAGGCCGTGTAGGATTGTTACATAGGTATACACATGCCATGGTGGTATGCTGTATCCATTCCCCACGCCCGTCATCTACATGAGGTATTTCTCCTAATGCTATCCTTCCCCAGTCCCCCCACCCTCTGCCATCCCTCCCCTAGCTCCCCCACTCCCCCGGCCAACAGGCCCTGGTGTGTGATGTTCCTCTGCCTGTGTCCATGTGCTCATTGTTCACCCACTTGTGAGTGAGAACATGCGGTGTTTGGTTTTCTGTTCTTGGGTCAGTTTGCTGAGAATGATGGTTTCCAGCTTCATCCATGTCCCTGCAAAGGGCATGAACTCATCCTTTTTTGCGGCTGCATAGTAGCCCATGGTATATATATATGTGCCACATTTTCTTTATCCAATCTATCATTGGTGGGCATTTGGGTTGGTTCCAAGTCTTTGCTATTGTAAACAGTGCCGCAGTGAACATACGTAGAAATACCATTTGACCCAGCACTCCCATTACTGAGTATATACCCAAAGGATTATAAAACATTCTCACTTTTGTTCATTCCTGAGCCGGGGC